AATTGACAAGTTCTCAAATGCCAGTGTCCATTCTGTGATTGGGACATGGGGAGGATTGATTTTTCTGATCAGTCGTATGCAAGACTACCTCATCATCTAGCTTCCAAGAACTAGAGATTTGGTCATGCAGAATCCAAAAGTGAAAGCATGGGTATGAGGAAAAGTGTACCAAAACAATATATTATTAAATACTAAACATTACAAACTAAAAAATATAAATATGCATTTTGAAAATGCCACAATTCAAAATTTTTCATGGATGGACTTGGCCAACATACTCTTATGGATGGATTCTACCAGCATCTTTGGATACAGATACTGGCGACTTGAAAGTCAACTCAAGTTAGCCATGGAACCATACAAGTACAAATATTCTCCTTATTTATTTCCTTTTTGTCATTTATTTGATGAAACATTTTATTCCGCAAGATATCAATACTTTATATCATTTTTACTGGAGTTAGCAAGCATGCTGATTAGCTAAATAATTTCACAATATTAGTAGTTTACAAGATTAGTTTATGCATATGTGTACATTTATTTATGCATATGTCTACATGAATCTCTATGGTAGTCGGGGTGGTCAACTAAAATACAAACTAGAATACAAAACTTATCTGTGTATAAATGCATGAGATACAAGTGCTCAATAATTGGAGATATTGTTCTTAAAAAATATATGAATTTCTATAATTGATAAAACAAATAATTATCATTACACAGAAGCACCTTTTAACCCCATATTACCCATCATGCATTACTTCCTTTATAGCCCGGTATATAAGTGTATAGTGCTGGTGAAAAAAAAAGAAGCAGTAATCAAATATTTATTAGTTAAACCAACTGCGTATTGTAACATTTCAGGAAAAGTTTCCTATGTCCATCAGTTTTCACATGTCTTTCTTAGATTCTGCAAGTTCAATTTTCGCCTGTAACAAGAGATACAAACAAGTAAATGTTAGATTTTCACTTTAGCCACATGCAAGCTGACGTCATAAAGTGATGCAGACCTGATGGCATTTTGGTAGTCCCGACAGACTGTTTTACAAATGTTATGCGTCACTGAATATTTCGGTTATAATTGCACTTAGAAATAACCCGACTATATTTGTAGATGAAACAATGATGGTGATGAGTCGGTAATTTATTAAAATTAATGAGCATAGCAACAACAACTAGTGCTTTAATTCTGCTTCATTTCCCATCATGTATCCTAATTGGATTCTATATGTATGCATGGAATCATGGATAATTAAATCTAACAGTTAATTTCAACTAATATACATTGTACTTTTAAGTATGGATGTGATAACACACTTTGATAGGAAATTACTGAAATTGTTAATCCCTGTGACCAACTATTTGAATATCTGAAAAAACAACTTGAGATAAGGCCAAAAAAGTAGGTTATGCTTCTTGTCACAACATAGTTTTCCAAATTTTGTGTTCTGAAAAAGTGCACCACATATTGTGGAATGGGTGAATGTTTGTTTTATGTTTCAGGATATGTTTCATTGTTTCAGATAAACTTTAAATGCATGTAATCAACGAATTAATTAATTAATAAATAAATATTAAACAAATATCTTGTGTGATATTAAATAATTTCATTATAAAATAAAATTATTAATAAAAATGGTGTTACTGAATCATTTTTAATTTTTTCTAGGACAAAGATAAACCAATGTCTTATTATTATCGTGTAAGAACAAGTTTGAGTACCCGCTCTTTTTATTGCTTTTTATTTTTATGATTACTGAGCAAGGATTTGTAGTTATGTGCATACTCAAAGAAAAGGGAAATTCAGTATACATCTACAGCAGAAAAGTAAAATAAGGAAAGCTACGCATATAGACATGTATGTACCTGTAGGTCACTGTGTTCGTTCAGTAATCTATCATACTCTGTATTGGTCCCCTCAGCTTGCTTCTTCAAAGCAGCCAGGTCGGTTTCGGCTTTCTCCAAAGCTGAGAACAAGAACATAAATTCCTTATAGAAACATTCGCTGGTTCCCGGCGTTCCATGTGAATGACAAGTAGGACGCAGGTAACTAGTAATCGTCATATTGTTCCAGTGGGCCGGCCCAAAGTCACGTGACTAAATGATGTAATTTGAAAAACATTCTAATATTCGTTTTCTGTCTTTATTATGCCATGCCCACACATTCTGCCTGCTTAGACTTACATATTTGAGATGTTTCTGGCATTTCCCGCTGTTTCTGTGCAAATTTATAACAAAAGAAACAGTTTTATATTCGCCCAATTTTCAAGAGTAAATAGAAACCCCTGCTCTAGAACCACAAGCATAAGCGCTGATGTCAAGTAACCAAGGGAAATAGAACAAGCAATGAGAAAATGATGGACCAATCAGAATGCTGGAACCGTTACTAGTTACCGGCCTTTTCTGATGGTACGCCATGACACTTGAGGCGGTAACCAGCCAATATTGAAACAGTGTCTACACAGATTCCTTGAGCTTGCCATAGAGGGCGCACAATCTCTCACTTCAAATCAGGGGGATGTTCAATTTCTAAACTTTAAACAAATTTCTATTACTGCCATAAACAGGGTTAGCACGAAATAATGACTCTAGTCTGTCTGTCCATTAGATACTGTAAGTTGGAGGATGCTTTCCTTTATCATATGTTTGCTCTAATAGAAGTGCATCTCCAAGTATAAGTACATGTCACACATGAAGTGCAACAGTAATTACAGTTAAAATAAATTCATTTTTAATCAGTTTCACTTAACACTGCCTGTACATCAATTACTGGTATACATGTATTTTATTCCCCTGGTTTGACAGTTTCTGCTATAGAAAAGAACTATGATGACACTCATGGTTTTGGGACAGCTTCCAGTTGATGACAGGACATAGTGATATAAAATAAGTATGAATCTACCTCCAATAATAACTAGTCATGCATGGAGTAAAAAATCACAAGTTTCCTAACCTGCTTTGGTTTCTTTTAGTTCCTCCTTCACAGCAGCTAATTCTTTAGTGGTTTCACTGTCAGCAACAGCTGCCACAACTATTTCAGCCATAGAACCAGATCTGGAAGTCTTACCGCGAGGCTCTTTGGTTTGCTCTTTCAGTTGCTGCAGGAGAGAACATAAATTTTGAATTGTATTGGTTGTATGAGTGCATTTTAAACACATGTGTGTGAAAGTGTATTTGTGCAGATTTGGCCGATTACAGTGGGAACGTGTACATAGCTTTGGTAAAAGCGTCTTAGGTCAAATAATATCAGTGACTTGTATATACGGTATATACTGTATTAGCTCTAAAATGCATGTGAATATACAATCAGCCTCTCGGCTGAGATAGCTTCACTATGTGCAATGCACATTTCAATTAGAGAATTGAAGAGATCATCACAAAATGAACGATTCTGAGATCGGTTCACATGAGGTATCTTTATGTGTATAATATCAAAGTCATCAAACTTGCAGTTTTCAACAAGAAGGCGAAAATATAACTTTTTAGCAAAAAAGCCAAAACTATTCATCAAAATATCAACTACAGTATGTAAATTAATTTTCACTAGGATTTAATTTTACTATTTTGATATTTTGAACATTTATCTGTACTATGATTTAAAGTTTACAGTGAAAAGGGTCCTGATACAATTGTACATGTGCATGTAGATTTAATTCAGACATAGTAGAATCTCACTAAAATGTAAAATAAAAGAAAAAAATGTACAAATACACACCTTCTCCAGTTCCTCTTTCTCATTCATAAGTTTCTGTGCTGTCTCACTGGCATTCTCGGCTTGTTTCTTGGTAGCAGCATTGCTAGCAATGAGAGTGGCTTCTTCAGAGATCAGTCCTGACATACGCTTCAACACACTATGAAATAAGATTAACACACTGATCAGTTCACTCTGTTTTACAAATGTAACTCCCGGTATGTCTATAAACACAGACATGTGTGCAGATACAGAGTGTACATGTACATTCTTGGGTGTACATACAAGCAATAATGATATTATCGGAAGATCAGTATAAATTTGAAAGAAATATAGAGAATAATGTGCATACCTTTAATATATAGTTTTGTATATTTTTTAATAATATATTTTTTTTTTTATTAAATATTGCAATAAAAAAAAAAAAAAAAAATAGCAAGTCACAGCCACTGGCTCTATTAGAGAAGATTCAGGTTATCTTGTGAAAATTTACTAAAATTATTGGGTCTTCCAGGATCCCTATTCTTCAAATCATTAACAACTTGAAAGAAATCTCAGAAACTGTTATCGAGCACAAATGAGAGAACAAACTGGCGGCCATGGCTAGCCAGAATAAATTGGAAAACTGGGTCAGCAGTTGATTTGTCAAATCAAATCATTAGACAAATTAACCCATCATGCATTATTTGTACAAAGTTTGAACGAATCAAATTGGCCCAGGTATGTCCAAGGATCAGTTGATGATTTGTAATTTTTTGTTCTTGTGTCAGAACGTACACACAAACCAACACGGAGGGCTGCACAACTTGTGCTCAGATACACTTTTGAGGTACCCATACATACCTTGGTTACGTATCAACTTCATACCTAATATGAACACAATTTTTCCATCAAATGATGCAGACAAGAAATCTTTTCTCTAGTCAACTATATACAGTACTGTGCTGTGTGGTACAGATATTCATGATGCAAAATTTTCTTTATTTTTTAGTACTTACATCCAGAGAAAGAAAGCAAAGCCAGCAATGTAAAGATTTCTCTGTGCACGGAATAACTTCATATGAATCATCACTTCTGACTGTGGATTGTTCTTTAAATCCACTTCGCTTACACCGACGGAGTACTTACGAACTTCACGGATGGCATCTGAAAGAGAACATAGTGAATCTGATTTTGTATACTCTCATTATAAAATTGTCAAAGCTCAATTAAAATGAGCTCTTTGCAGATATTATTTGTAAACTAATGATATGGTTAATATCTGAATTAAAATAAAAATGCATAAAACACAGAAAAATTTTATTTCGGCAAAGTCATACATGCCATTAATTTTAAAATTAAAAGTGAGCTCCCTCTAGTGACAGAAACTGGTACCAAAAAAAGCATTGTTTGTTGAGTGGGACAGATAACTAACTGAAACAGTCGGTGGTTCACTTTAGAAATGTCCATTATTTTAACTAATTAGTGTTTGAATGTTTTCCTGAGACAATGATACATGCAATGAGGATTCTGTGCTTGTCTGCCAGAGGTGGCGCTATCAAGTGCAGCTTGTTTGGATTTATTTGCACTTGCATGGGAATGTTCCATTGTTTAAAGGGGGTAGTGGTATGAGCGGGAGGGTGTTGAGTGAGAGACAATAAATGGGGTTTTGTAAAGTATATCTCATGTTGCATCAGAAAGTGGGCATAATACCCTTTTAATCAACTTCAATACTGTAAAATGCTTTATTTTAGCAGGAATTAATTTTTGCTGAAAAGACTCTTTTGGTGTTTTGTATGGAATTTATTTTCACTGATTCTTGATGAGTTAAATGTTAAATATAGGAAAAAAACGTATATTCATTGCCTTTCGGCGAAAATATTCCTGAATTCTTTCCAGCATGCATGCTATTTATGTACGTTTTGATCCACAGTAAACTAATTATTTCTCTACTCTAGTTAGTGATACTACAATAAAATACCATCTGAATGATAAAGAAAACAGCTACCTTGACTAAAG